AAAAGTGTTTCTTATGCCGGCTTCAGTTTTGATAGGCTTCAAATTGGACAAGGGTTTGGCCTCAAGATCTGGGAATTTGGTTTAGGCCCAATTCAGACTGATAAGAATATGGACCAATTTATTTTGGATTAGCCCAATCCAATAATTATAGCGGACCATCCAAATCCGATTTGACAAGGTTTGGATCACAATTGGTTCCAACCAAAACCGGTCCATTGACACCCCTGGCTCATAGGTCGCAACCTTTTGAGCAACCTAAATAGTTGACAAGTATAATCTCAAAAAGGAAAAAAGGAATTACTGATACTAAATTGGATTCCCTTAATCTTTTGGTTTCTCTTTTCCTTATGCTCCTCTCAGATGCACAAGTACACATTCTGCTCAAATGACAATTTTGGGCACACTATGACTTAGCCATTTTGTCCACGTCACTAGGAAATTCAAACACTATCGCATAGAGTTTAAATTGAACGCATGACTCAATTGAATTTTTAATGATTCAAAAATATTAAGAAATGTTCAACCCCAAGTCTGCAGGAACACTAAGTAAATCAATAATACTAACTTGATAAAAGAAAAACAAAATGCTCAAAATTTCAAGAATTATAAATATGTAATTACCACAGAAGGCTGCCCTTTAAAGATTCTCAGCATAGTAGGGGAAGGTTGATTTTTAGGAATAGCAACAGTTACATCATAAATTGCTGGAACAAATGACCGCATATTACTTACAGCAGAAACAAAACCCTGAAAAGAAACACAAAAATTCCTCAGAAAAAAAGAAATTCATGTCAAATTTTTACAAGCACTAATGTCAGAAAAATCCATCATTATGACACGGTTTCCTAAAACGTTTTGCTATGCACAAAACACAACCAATTGTTCATGAAAAATTTTAAGGTGCAGAAAATAGTTGGAGTAGATGGTGGAAAGAATTACTTAAAAAAATTGTGCATAAATTACAATTACACTAATAAACGTGTATGCACGTTTATTGTCTTCCATAATTCTTTATCAATATTCTTCAAGCCTTCATCATCTTCCATAATTCTTTAGCACAGATTTCTGCCACACTAATATTTAGGACATGTCTCTTAACGGCCCAACGCTTCTCCATACAGCATTATCAGCCTTACAACTGCATTATAGAATTTTTCTATTAACCTAAATGGTATTCATCTTATCACCTATGATACAAGGCTCCAAATGCACCTCTCCATGTTACCCATCCCATTCCAATTCAACGGGTGAAATCCTCCTCAATCTTTCCATTGTTATGAATTATCAGAACAAGGTAACAAAGAGGTCATATTGAGTTATCTCTTGGTCTCTAATCCTATTATTATTAAAATTTCATAGCATAGATTTTGTTTTGTCACACTTTTTTTATTAATAACAGAATTTCATTAGAAATTTTTAAAAATTACAAGATAAGAGGGACAGGTAATCTTTCTTAACTCTCCACAAACAAAAAAGTTATAACAATTGAGCCCAAAACAACTAATTCCTCCCCATCCCTTGTTTTTTTCTAAGACATCAGCAAAAGCATTTGCTGTCCTTTTAATCCAACTAAACTGCACTTCCATATCTTGAGTCATCCACTTGAATCTCTTTTTTTCATTATTGAAAGTCCAAAAACATTCTTCTTCCTTTTGCAACCACTCCACTACTTTAAAACCTCTTGTTTCTACTGTACTTGTCCATAAACCTAAGTTTGCATTTAATCCTTCATTAATTTATACAATGCATAAGGCCATAAGCAAAATAAACACCTTGGGACCTCCTGAATATGTTTAGTCAATTAATCAATGATTAGTGCAAATATCAAAATAACATTCAAAAAAGAGAACTAATTCCCAAAGGGATCCACATATAGGAGTGAGCAAACTATAGGTCAAAGGATATATGAAACCCACTCATTGAAAGATTTAAACAAAAATTAGCAGAGTACTTGTTCAAAGGAGGAAAGGTTACATTGATACAATGTGCCTCATCAAATCTCCCAAACTATTTCTTCTCTCTCTGTCTCTCTTTACAAATCCAATCTCAGTTATTAACTCCTTGGAGAAACTAAGATGTGATTTCCTTTGTATTCTTTTGTACTCTCAAAGACAAGGGTAAAATTGGTACTTGACCCAAGGTTCAAAATTTTTTTTTATCAGCACCCAAGGTTCAAAATATCAATGTATCAATGCATCATATGATATGTATCGATTTTCAGGGTCATGAATAAGCCATTTATTACAATTTTGACTTTCTAAAACTTTAGCAACATGATAACAACCATACACTATGGCTTTGTCAGATTTTCAAAACGTAAAAAAAAAAAAAAAAAAAAAAAAACAACGATTAGTTTTGCAGTTTTTATGGCCACAAAAAAAAAAATATGCATCGATTGCATCAACACTTTTAACCTGGAATAACCATTAATCAAACCTCCTGAATAAAGTGCTCTTGATTGGGAAACAGAAATCCCTCAAATGCCTTATGTCTCAAAGGATGAAATCTATAGATTAATCAGCCTGGAAATGGGGAATAGATCCTATTCTAGAAGAATGCATGGTGTGGATCAGAACCTTTGTGTGAATCCCATCTCTGAAATATTTAACATGACGGTGCTATCAGATTTATGCTGGCAAGTAGTTTGGTCCCCAAAATTGAGAAACTTGCATGACTGGCAGGTGCAAGAACTGACATCACTGCTGGAAACAGTTAACAAGATTCACTCTCATCCAAACTCTAAAAGATGGAAACCAGGATGGTCAGGATTCTTTTCTCCAGACCTTTTTCAACGAATTAATAGAGCCCAAGAGGTGTCAAAGTGGCATGAAGCTGGATAGAAGATTAAGGTACCCTTAAAGGTCGCATTCTTCTTATCATCTTATGGACAATTCTGTATAGAATCCTCCCTACTAATCATTTGCAATCAAGAGGTATGGGTGTTGGGCAACCTATGCAGTCTTTGTGGCAAGAAGAAGAATCAGTTCCACAAGTACTGATTCCACAGCTTCATTTAGAGCAGCTAGGTACATTTTCTACAGCTTTTCGGTAAACATTGGGCAACCCGAAAAGATATTAGCACACTTATCTTAACATGGCCCTTCATTGGATTCAGTAAGAGGGGAACCATTTTGTGGAAGTTGGTCCCTTTTGCCATACATTGGTTGACATGCCAGGAGTAGATTAGCAGAATCTTTTATGGGAAAATGGACAGGAAGAGGTTTAAGCAAAAGAGGGAAAACTTTATGGCAATCTCCTGCACATGCTATATTTTGGAGCATTTGAGAAGAGAGAAATAACCAGGTGTTTAACAACAGAACAAAAAACTGTGAGGAACTTATTTCTTTAATCTGTTATAGATGCTTCCTGTGGACTTCCAGCTCAGATTAATTCAGAGGTGTCACATTTGCTGACCTCCAAAGAAATTCTGTAAATTTTCTTCACTCTAATCCCATACACCTCAACACTTCCCGCAGTCTCAGATTTGCTGACAAAGGGGAGACAACTTTGTACTTTGATGGAAGCGTTTTCGGAAACCAAGGTGCAGCTGGTATTGGAGGTGTAATTCGAAGAAAAGGTGGTACTATCAGTTGGGCTTTTAGTAGACCGATTGGGATAGCTTCCTCAACAAAGGCTGTAGTCATGGCAGCATTAACCAGTATCAGGATTGCAAGAGACCTGGGTCTATTAAATCTTACCATTAAAGGAGATCCAGCCAACACCATTAATTGGCTTACTAATCCTGATAGTGGGCCTTGGGCCGTAGCTCACTACTTGGCTGAAGCAAGAGACATCCTCTCCTCCTTGAATGCGCACGTGGGCTGGGTTCCAAGGGAGATAAATTCTGAAGCTGACAGTCCAGCTAAATCTGATGCTTACAGGGATTACTTATTCAGTCATAGTGTCTGCATATGTAACTCCTTGAGTGTGATATCTGTGTACATCTCCTCATGTACCTCATTTATCTTGAATAAAGTTAACTTTTTCTCAAAAAAGAAATCCCCCAGAGAGGTGTTCACTGGAAAAGTGAAAGAGTGTTGATTTTCTAATCTAAAGTCCTACAAGGAGTTTATAGGCTTCACATATCACCACAAACTAATCAATTGCAGAGAATCATAAGTGCAAAGGATTTTGTGATATAACACACATCTAGTTATACATAAATGATTATATATAGTGTCTGGGTAAATGATTAGCCTTGGTTTGTAAAGCTTTTGACACAAGGGATCCTCTACCTCCTATGATACAAAGTACTCACCTTCCGACACTTCTACTCATATCTTAATTAAAATTATACTGCATGTATCATGTTTTATCTGTCCTTCAAGCTTGGATACTAGAGCTTTCCTTCACATTTTTAGTTATGAATTAATTATCCCCATAGCTAATTACTTGAAGGACAGCTAAAACAACACAAACCATGAGACATACTCTTGTATATGCCATTAAGTCATCTGCACCAAATGTGAAAGCAGAAGGACAGAAAGGAACCAAGTGATGCCATAAACAGATACAAATGAAATAAAAATATCAAACATATAGACTGTAAGGCAACAAATAATTGACAAAAAACAGTAGAGAAGTTCCTTTTACAGACCAGAAGTTTTAATAAGAAAAACAATTTGCAAACTACAAGAGGGAGCATCAAGTAATATTTCTTAAAACTTCACCAAAACCCTCTATTGACCTACTTGACAAATAAAAAGCTAGATATAGTTGCACAATACTAAAAACTCAACAACGAAGCTGTAGTTCAATAGAAACGTTGTTAACATAGGAAATGGCAAACATATACAAAACTAGCTCGGAGAAAAAAATAAGCAAGACCAAGTAGGACTATTAGGAGAAAATTCATATGTGAATTTATGTTGGTATAGGTGCAAGAAGAGTTTAACCTTAGTGCGTGGAATCAAAACATTTCTAGGAACAGGCAGCCCTGTTGAAGTTGCATATTCTTGAGCTGCTAAAAGCTTTGCCCTAGTGTAGCGAGTTCCCTCTACAAAAAGAGCCAACCAAAAGGGCCGAGGAAAGTCCTTCAATCGTCCAAGTCCTGCCTGCAATTACAATCATAAACAACTGAAATGAAGTTGGCAAGGTAGCCAAAACCACATACACAACTGCAGCAAGCATTTGACATGCTATTACCTTCAATGTGCTTTCATCCTTTGCCCAACTTCTTTCCAGAAAAACATATTCAGAGAACCACATTGACCAGCCTATAACCTGCATACAGTGATCACATCCCCATAATCCAGGAGCAATTTAGATACCAGTTCTGTTTCTTCTTTTCTTTTTTTCCTTTTGAAACAGTAAAGTATAGTGTTGAGAAAAGATAAGTAAAAATGATACAAAGAGGGACCCCTGTATAGAGGATCTGTCACATTTGGGATAAACACCTGAAACAATATCCTCTAAAAGAACTGTATAGTATGTAACTTAAAGAATTAAAAAAAAAATGAAGCGGTAAAAAAGGGCAAAGTTCCCTAAATTACAAAGCTCATGATTGACCAGCCAAGAACAGCATCCCACTATCCTTTTAACCACCTCTTTTACTATGAGCCCTGCTTGACTCTACCATTCCTTTATAGAATCTGGGAACATCCCTTAAAGAGCTCCCAACATGACCCCCTTCATTCCTAAAAAACATTCCCCAATAAATGCAATTTCCTGATCCCTATCCCACCATACTTCTTAGCCACACACACCCTGTTCCAGTTTTTTTCTTACCATCTTTTCCATAAAAGATCCCACATTTTCTTCTCTAACAGAAGTGCCACTTTTGCAGGAATTCCAACAAAGATAATTACTAAACTGGTAAAAATGACAATAACCTCCCCCCTCCCGATAAAGGTATTTGGATTTCCATGAGATTAGTTTTTGTCCATTTTTTCCACATCGTGCCCCCATATTTATGTAGAGAACTGTCACAGCCACCTTAGTTGGGAGCTTTCCTAGTTTACACTCCCATTTCTCCACCCACTCCTCTGTTTCAGCCACCTCATTACCTACCAACGTTTCACTTTTTGGATGTTTTATGTGGAGAACTGTCACAGCTATGAACTATCTCGACAACTTGGAGATTAGCCAACTGTTCATGTGATGCACTACAAAAAAAGAGAGTGCATCAACAAACTAGAGAGTGCAGATGAGGCACATTAATTTCTCTGGAGGCTGTGAGCACAACTTCAAATCAGCCTTTCTCCAAAGGCTGATATCAAGATCCAATCTTGATCGTTCCTGCTTGAAAGAGGAGATCGAACTGGCAGTTATGGCAGCGGCAAGGAGAAAATAGCGCAGTGGTGCTATGTTCTCTCTTTTGTATCTCTTGCTCTGAGAGTGAGGATGTGATGTAGAGGTTGCCGCCCCCTCCTCCTTTTATAATCTTAAAGGGATCAGCTCCTAATCCCATTAGGAGTTGCAGATCCAAATCTTATCTGGATCTGAATTCCCTTTAAGTAATAAGGGCAGACCCTTATCTTATCTACAGATTAGATCAGCCCTCTCCTAATCTTATTAGGAGGTTTCCAGATCTAAATCTCATTTAGATCTAGACTGCATGTGCCTCAAGTAAACCTACACTGCATGTGCCTCAAGTCTCACCCTGGTGGCTGAGACAGGCCACCCCAACATTTGGCAGCACACCAGTGTCAGCCTTAGCGGGATAAATCTCCCCAGACTTATCCAATAGCTGTGAACATTCTAAACTAACACGAGTCTCATAAGTGTCCAGTTTAAGAGTACTACACAGAAACACACCACAAGAACATGAATCAAATATGTACTTTATTCATTTACAATAAATGTCATAACGTACATCATTCTGATTGAAGCTAAGGGCATACAACTGTCTAACAAGCTTAAGCTGGTTTTTGATTCTTGAGATTGAGCAGGATGTAGAGAATATGTTTGTATTTTGGTTCCAGGTTTCTTTTCAGGAGGGTGTTACAAGGCATAAGGATGTCAAGAGAATCTAAAAGCTAACCTAGTATGGTCAAGGCACAATAAAATAATCCCCTATTGCTCCCATCTAGACCATTAGCAAGGTATACAGACATATACCAGCAAGGAAGACAATGATTAAAAAAACCTCCCACTATGACTACCTCCTCAAGGCATACACACACATACAAATGCCAACAAAAATCACCTTAAAATGGCAAAAAAACAAAAAAGAAAATACCAACATAGCGAATTCATAACAAATACCAACATAGCGAATCCTAGGAAAAACATGCCAAATGACATGAAACTACATGATGATAAAAAAATGGACATCATTCTATAAGAACACAAAGTCCCAAGTATTGAACTATAGCACTAAACACCTTCTATTTCTATAATACGACAAGGATAAGTTTCAAGAAAGACTAGGAAGCAATGTTGCACTGCCAATATACATATCCTTTTACTTTTTCAAGTTTTTAAATAGATAGCTTGTCTTTTAATGATATTATACATCTCCTACTCTACTATTATATGCCTATAGTTATAAGAGCAACAACAGTTGGCCTTCAGCAAATCCAATCAGAAGCAGCATTTATTTTTGAATTTTCCAAATTAGGATCATAATCCAATAACACAAAAGTGAACAAAAAAAAATAAAAGACCATAAGTGAATAAGAGATCAATCTCCAATGAAGTTTTACAATGATGCAATTGGATATCGCATATGGTTTTCAGCTGGATATGGTGAGAAAAGCTACATTGTGTCAATATCAATAGAAAGATACCGGAAGAAACTTTGATGATTTCTTCATGACGGCTAGAGTGCTACCAAGGCAACCTGAACGCTGGAAAAAAAGTAAACTAAATTACCATTACCAACTAATAACAGGAGAGAAAGTTAAGACATTAAAGTGAATCAAAAAACACTAAAACAGATACAGAACTCCCAATTTTATGTTGCATGTAGGTAAGGAATGGTAGTTCATAATGAGAGAAGACAAGTACCTGAGCTAAAACCCATCCAACAAGCCAGTCAATGTCACTTCTGTGATTGGATATGAGAAGAGCATGCTCCTTTCCTGGAATTTTCTCCAATTAATCTACGTACAAGGGTGATCATTAACCACCCTCTCTATATTAGAGAGTAATGCTTAGTATTCAAGTAAACAAAAACGTCATGGACTTTACCCATTGATTGGAAAGTTTCAGAATCTGTGTACAGTTGGACCTGCAGACAGAAAATATTGCTCAGGTCAAAAAGTGAAATGCATAAATCACAGATTTGCAGATTGCAAAGAATGTTATTAGATCAAGACTTGCTATCTGAGGTGCAACATTGGTGACAAGAGCAAGTGCCCTAGGTAAAAAGCAAGGTTTAAAATGTCGATATCGATGGAAATGTTTACCCAAATATAGAACAAATGTTGGAAGTGTCAGATGAAAATATTGTAAAAATTATAGACATTATGGAAATATTATGAAATGTGTGGAAATATGCAATGATATTCTATATAATGATAAAAGATGCATTAATACACCTTTCTAGACTATTATCTTCCACGATGCATGTCTTTTTCTTCTATTAAATAATTAGAATTAAATCATATAAACAACATGAAGCATTTAATATTTTATTATTAAGAAAATTATTTTATTTATGCATTTTATTTTATTCTAATAAGTTATTAGTTTAAGTAATACTTTTATTATTATAAAAATATCTCACTATTTTTTGTTTTTATGAATATTTTATCCCAAATATTAACTTTCTTACTATTTATTCATTTTTTATTGCTTTTATAATAAGGGCCTATAATATCAAAATATAAACTATCTATTAAATCATATTTTTTTATGTTAACAATGAAAACTTTTCATTAATATAAACAGTAGTGTACAAAGATTGTGAAAACCTTATTCAGTCCTAGGTTACTATAGAGAAGAAGAAGAAGAAGAAGAGGGGTTTGGCCAGTAGAGGAAAATCAGTCCTCTCTAGTCGACCCACTTGTATTTATCTCCAATAAACTTAGTTACAAGAAAGACCATATTATCCCTCATTAGTGATGGGACACAACTTAAACTTGAATAAAACAGACCTTTCACTCTCAAATAGATAAACCCAAATGACCAAAATACCCTTGTTATGTGAACTCTAACACTCCCCCTCAAGCTGGAGAGTATATGTCATTTAGTCCCAGCTTGTCACAAATATAATCTACTTTGCCCTAAGACGATCCATGTGTAAGGAGATCTGCCCATTGATTTCCCGAGCTCACATGAGATGTGGTTATCACTCCATTGATCACTTTCTCTCTTACAAAGTGACAATCGGCCTCAATATGCTTGGTACTCTCATGGAAGACTGGATTGGAAGAGATGTGAACAACTACTTAGTTATCATAGTATAGTCTCATGGGTTTGTCAACTAAGAACCCCATCTCTTGTAGCAAATTCTTCAGCCATACTAGTTCACATGTGGTATGAGCCATAGCTTTGTACTCAGCTTCTGCACTACTCCTTGCCACCACTGTTTGTTTCTTGCTCTTCCAAATTACAAGATTGCCACCAATGAAGGTACAATACCCTATAGTTGATCTCCTGTCTGATATAGAACTAGCTCAATCAACATTTGTATACCCTACTATCTCAAGAGTCCCTCACTTTTGTATAGCAAACCACGACCACGACCTAGAGCACCCTTCAGGTACCTAACAATCCTTAGAACTCCTTCCTTATGAGGAATCCGAGAATGTTGCATAAACTAACTCACCATACTCACAGCAAATGATATATCTAGCAGGGTAATAGTCAAATAATTCAACTTTCCCACCAACCTCCTGTATCTTCCAAGATCATCAAACTCTTCACATGCATCAACACTCAACTTGACATTCAGTTCCATAAGAGTCTCTGTTGGTTTAGCACTTAACAGTCTTGTTTCTTCAAGTAGGTCAAGAACATATTTTCTTTGACAAAAGTTAATTCCATGTCTTGACCTTGCAAATTCTATTCCCAGGAAGTACTTCAGCCTATCCAAATCCTTCGTATTGAAGTAGTCCTGTAGGAATTTCTTTAACCTGTCAATTCCATTACTGTCACTCCCAATTATGACAATATCATCCACATACACCACTAGAAAGATTTTTCCATCTTTTGAATCATGGCTGAACACAGAATAGTCTACCTAACACTATTTCATCCCAAAGTTTTTCACTACTTCACTGAACCTATCAAACCATGCACGTGGAGATTGTTTCAGTCCATAAATTGTCTTTTTGAGTCTACAAACCTTATCATCCTCCCCCTGAGCAACAAACCCTGGTGATTGCTCCATATACACCTCCTCAAGGAGATCACCATGCAATAAGGCATTTTTTATGTCAAGTTGCAAAAGAGGCCAATCATACATAGCAGAAAAAAAAAATAAAAAAAAACAGTCTTTTGAGAATAAAGGACTGTTTAGAACAGATGCARAAATCAAAATAAAATAACATAAATCATTCTTCTAAGGAAGAGAAGATGAAGAAGAAGATGGCGACAATAGGGGTTCAGAGTAAGAGAGTTTCGAACCTTAATCTCAACTCTTACACCCCTAACACTATTTTATTAAGTTAAACTTTGATAATTTACAGAGATGCCCATAGTTGGGCAAAAAATTAAAAGAACATAACATAGAAAGAATAGGCCCAGAATAAGGCCCATTACAGCAAAGAACATAAAATATAAAAAAAAAGATAAACAGCCTATGGACCATTCGGCCCATCCTCTCTACACTCCCCCTCAAGCTGAGCATAGATGTCAATCATGCCAAACTTGCCAGTATCATGCTGAAGTTTAACCTTGGGAATGCCCTTGGTAAGGAAATCTGCTAACTGTCCTTCAAAAGTGATGAAAAGTAGACACACTTCACCAGAAGCCACTCTTTCTCGAATGAAGTGTCTATCAACTTCAATATGCTTAAATCTGTCATATTGTACTGGGTTGTGAGCAATGTTGATGGCGGCCTGATTATCACAGTATAACATCATTGGCTTATCATGCTCAATCCCTAATTCCTCCATCAATGATTTTAGCCACAATAGTTCAGGAATTCCATGTGCCATGGCTTTGTATTTTGCTTCTGCTAAAGATCAAGCAACAACAGATTGTTTCTTGCTTCTCCAAAAGACAATATTACCTACCACCAAGCTGCAGTACCCAGAAGTAGATCTTCTGTCATCAATGTTTCCAGCCCAGTCAGCATTTGTATATCGCTCTGTTGTTGCCATATGAGTATCCCGGGGAGCATGCATGAATTGGATGATGCAACTGACAGCATATGCAATGTCTGGCCGAGTCAGGCATAGATAAAGAAGTTTTCCAAGGAATCTCTGGAAGACTCATTTGTCTTCTAACAATATTCCATCTGAAACAGAGAGTTTATGACTCATATCAATAAGAGTATCAACTGGTCTAAGCACCCATCTTCCCTGTTTCAGAGAACAAATCAAGAACATACTTCCTCTAAGAGATAAGAATCCCATCCTTGGACCTACCAACTTCTATGCCAAGAAAGTATCTCAATTCCCCCAAAATCTTTGATCTCAAACTCTGAATGAAGAAAAGATTTGAGATCATTAATTCCTGAGACATCATTACCAAGCACCACAATATCATCAACATACACAATCAGGTAAACTGTCAGGAATCCTCTCCTCTTCACAAAGAGAGTATAATCAGACTGTGCCTGTACATAGCCAAATTTAACAAAAGCAGCCCTAAACCTCTCAAACCAGGCTTTAGGGGACTGTTTTAGTCCATAAAGAGATCTCTTCATCTTGCATACCTTTCCTTTCATATATGTTTCATACATCCCTAGAAGAAGAGACATATAAACCTCCTCATGTAATTCTCCATTCAGAAATGCATTCTTTACATCCAATTGATAAAGTAGCCAGTCAAAGTGAGCAGTCAAAGATAGAAGAACTCTCACAGAGGTCATCTTGGCAACAGGGGCAAAGGTCTCCAGATAATCAATCCCATATGTCTTTGTATAACCTTTTACAACCAAGCTAGCCTTATACCTTTCAATGGTGCCATCAGCATGATATTTGATAATAAGACCCACTTACAGTCAACTGGATCCTTCCCTTCAGGCAAATCAACCACTTCCCATGTGTCATTCTTGTGCAGGGCATCAATTTCGGATCTCATAGCATCCCTCCATTCTGGAATATTCAGAGCTTCTGACACAGACCTAGGAATTGGGTTAGAGGCAACAGAAGAAAGGTAGGCAAAATATGAAAGAGAAAGCAAACTATAAGAAAGSTGTTTGGAAATGCAATGTGCAGTACACTTCCTTTTTCCTTTCCTAATAACAATGGGGATATCAAGGTCTAGAAAGGATGGCTCCAAAGGGGCTGAAACAGTACCTGTTGTCTCATCTGTAACTAGAAGTGCATGAGGCTCGTGTGTTGCAGGGGAAACAACCTGCTCATTTCTGGATCTTTGCCTTTGATACATCATGGGATTAAAAAGAGGACGAGGAGGTAAAGGGGGAGGAATAGGAACACTGGAGTGAGAGTGGAATGATTGATCCTCTCTTGATTCATTTGAAGGAGGAAGAGACTCAGGAAAAGACTCAACTGGGACAGGAAGAGGAAGAGCAAAGACCTGTGACAAATCCTCCCCCTTTGGACAATGTCCCTCTAGAGAAGAACCATAAAAGGAAAAAAGATCATCAAATGTGACATCCTTTGTCACATATCGAGTACCAGTCTTTGGATCAAAGCAATAGTAACCCTTCTGTATGGGGGAATAACCAAGGAAGATACACTTGTGGGCTTTTGGTTCAAATTTATGTCTTTGGACACTAGAGATATGTACATAACAGGTGCAGCCAAAGACACGAATAGGAATAGAAAAAAGCTCCTTGTCCGGATAAAGGAGACTAAAAGGAGACTTAAACCCCAAAACCCTGTATGGCATACAGTTTATAAGGTAAGTAGCAGTGAGAACAGCATCACCCCAAAACTTTGTAGGGACATGTGAGGCAAACAGGATACTTCTTGCAACTTCAACAATATGTCTATTTTTTCTTTCAACAACTCCATTCTGTTCTGAGGTCCTGACACAGGAGCTTTGATGAATAACCCCTAAATCAGTGAGATAGCAGGACAAGTTTTTCTCAAAATATTCTTTTGCATTGTCATATCTGAAAATTTTAATCCTGGTATCAAACTGGGTTGA